AAGTTGTATGATAAGCGTAATGATATCGGTTTTCCTGTTGTGAATTTCACATTTCTGAATAGCGGCATATCCAACCTATGGTGTTTACATGTCACAGTTGATCCAATATTCAACGGCCTGTTCCGATTATAATGATTTTCGATGAAGATATCGTCAACTGCCGCACAAAATCAGAGGTTAGGGTTTCAAATGATACAGGTTGATATGAAATCAGGGAGAAGGTTTGCGGTCGTTAATTCTCGTTGTGAAAAATTCTATTTCCTAGTGTGACATGAAGCTGGGCGTGTTTGATGATCATTAGTTTGCTTGTTGTTTCCGTTGTTGTATACAATAGTATGATTTGAGATCAAGACACTACTTACTTGGATTGACCAGTGATTACGCTTAAGGAACACCCGGCCTTATTCTCTCTGTACTTTTTAAGATGTCTTCGTGTCAATATCTTTTTATTCATACTGTGTTTTATTGAATTTGAGTTTTATTGAATTTGAGTTTTATTGAATTTGAGTTTTATTGAATTTGAGTTTTATTGAATTTGAGTTTTAGTTTTAGTTTTATTGAATTTGAGTTTTAGTTTTAGTTTTATTGAATTTGAGTTGTTTTATTGAATTTGAGTTTTAGTTTTAGTTTTATTGAATTTGAGTTTTATTGAATTTTAGTTTTAGTTTTAGTTTTATTGAATTTGAGTTTTAGTTTTAGTTTTATTGAATTTGAGTTTTAGTTTTAGTTTTATTGAATTTGAGTTTTATTGAATTTGAGTTTTAGTTTTATTGAATTTGAGTTTTAATTTTAGTTTTATTGAATTTGAGTTTTAGTTTTAGTTTTATTGAATTTGAGTTTTAGTTTTAGTTTTATTGAATTTGAGTTTTAGTTTTAGTTTTATTGAATTTGAGTTTTAGTTTTAGTTTTATTGAATTTGAGTTTTAGTTTTAGTTTTATTGAATTTGAGTTTTAGTTTTAGTTTTATTGAATTTGAGTTTTAGTTTTAGTTTTATTGAATTTGAGTTTTAGTTTTATTGAATTTGAGTTTTATTGAATTTGAGTTTTAGTTTTATTGAATTTGAGTTTTAGTTTTAGTTTTATTGAATTTGAGTTTTAGTTTTAGTTTTATTGAATTTGAGTTTTAGTTTTAGTTTTATTGAATTTGAGTTTTAGTTTTATTGAATTTGAGTTTTATTGAATTTGAGTTTTAGTTTTATTGAATTTGAGTTTTAGTTTTAGTTTTATTGAATTTGAGTTTTAGTTTTAGTTTTATTGAATTTGAGTTTTAGTTTTATTGAATTTGAGTTTTAGTTTTAGTTTTATTGAATTTGAGTTTTAGTTTTAGTTTTATTGAATTTGAGTTTTAGTTTTAGTTTTATTGAATTTGAGTTTTATTGAATTTGAGTTTTAGTTTTATTGAATTTGAGTTTTAATTTTAGTTTTATTGAATTTGAGTTTTAGTTTTAGTTTTATTGAATTTGAGTTTTAGTTTTAGTTTTATTGAATTTGAGTTTTATTGAATTTGAGTTTTAGTTTTATTGAATTTGAGTTTTAGTTTTAGTTTTATTGAATTTGAGTTTTAGTTTTAGTTTTATTGAATTTGAGTTTTAGTTTTAGTTTTATTGAATTTGAGTTTTAGTTTTAGTTTTATTGAATTTGAGTTTTATTGACTTTGAGTTTTAGTTTTATTGAATTTGAGTTTTAGTTTTAGTTTTATTGAATTTGAGTTTTAGTTTTAGTTTTATTGAATTTGAGTTTTAGTTTTATTTTTATTGAATTTGAGTTTTATTGAATTTGAGTTTTAGTTTTAGTTTTATTGAATTTGAGTTTTATTGAATTTGAGTTTTAGTTTTATTGAATTTGAGTTTTAGTTTTAGTTTTATTGAATTTGAGTTTTAGTTTTATTGAATTTGAGTTTTAGTTTTAGTTTTATTGAATTTGAGTTTTATTGAATTTGAGTTTTATTGAATTTGAGTTTTATTGAATTTGAGTTGTTTTATTGAATTTGAATTTTAGTTTTAGTTTTATTGAATTTGAGTTTTAGTTTTAGTTTTATTGAATTTGAGTTTTATTGAATTTGAGTTTTATTGAATTTGAGTTTTATTGAATTTGAGTTGTTTTATTGAATTTGAATTTTAGTTTTAGTTTTATTGAATTTGAGTTTCATTGAATTTGAGTTTTAGTTTTAGTTTTATTGAATTTGAGTTTTATTGAATTTGAGTTTTAGTTTTATTGAATTTGAGTTTTAGTTTTAGTTTTATTGAATTTGAGTTTTAGTTTTAGTTTTTTTTTTAATTTGAGTTTTAGTTTTAGTTTTATTGAATTTGAGTTTTAGTTTTAGTTTTATTGAATTTGAGTTTTATTGAATTTGAGTTTTATTGAATTTGAGTTGTTTTATTGAATTTGAATTTTAGTTTTAGTTTTATTGAATTTGAAATTAATCTGTGGCTAGAGTGACGTAATCCGGCTGTAAAATCCAGAAAGCAAAGTGGTAAATGCCAGAAGAAACCTTTAGCATGGTCCCTTTACTATAACAGGAATTCGGTGACGCCCTTTTAAAACCACTACTCTTGACTGTATCATGGTCCATGCATTCAAATAGACAGATCCTTCCATTAAACCCAAAGTGAAGTTTAAAACCCGTCCACTATTAAATATCTGACCTGTTACTCACAAAAGCATATCATACAAAGCATACCATGTACAGTTAAGATTTAAACAGTTTGTGACAGTTAATTAACACATATCATCCATATTCCATTTAAGTCAACAGTTCAGACGATTAACGTTTCAGTACTTTGCTTGCAGTCGATGGAGTCAAAACCATATTTCCTTCAAGTTCATGAGTCACTGATACAATACTCTTTTTCGTATACAAAAATTACAATTTTGTCAGCATTTTGATAAAACGTTGTTGAGTCGTGGATGCAGAGATTTTCTTCATAAGAGGCAGCCGTAGATTCACAGCACCTATACCGGAAGTTTATACAAGGCTTCAAAAAGGTGAGATAGTCATGGCAGATACAAGGATTCATACAGGTGAGAAATTCATGGCGCGGATTCAACGTTTCATACAGGTAAGATATTCATGGCGCGGATACAAACCTTCATACAGGTGAGATATTCATAGCGTGGATTCAAGGCTTCATACAGGTAAGATATTCATGGCGTGGATTCAACGTTTCATACAGGTGAGATATTCATAGCGTGGATTCAAGGCTTCATACAGGTAAGATATTCAAGGCGTGGATTCAACGTTTCATACAGGTAAGATATTCATAGCACAAATTCAAGGCTTCATACGGGTAAGATATCCATGGCGCGGATTCAACGTTTCATACAGGTAAGATATTCATGGCGCGGATACAAACCTTCATACAGGTAAGATATTCATGGCGTGGATTCAACGTTTCATACAGGTAAGATATCCATGGCGCGGATTCAACGTTTCATACAGGTAAGATATTCATGGCGTGGATTCAACGTTTCATACAGGTAAGATATTCATGGCGTGGATTCAACGTTTCATACAGGTAAGATATCCATGGCGCGGATTCAACGTTTCATACAGGTAAGATATTCATGGCGCGGATTCAACGTTTCATACAGGTTAGATATTCATGGCGCGGATACAAACCTTCATACAGGTGAGATATTCATGGCGCGGATACAAACCTTCATACAGGTGAGATATTCATGGCGCTGATTTAAGGCTACATACAGGTAAGATATTCATGGCGCGGATTCAAGGCTTCATACAGGTGAGATATTCATGGCGCGGATTCAAGGCTTCATACAGGTAAGATATCCATGGCGCGGATACAAACCTTCATACAGGTGAGATATTCATGGCGTGGATTCAACTTTTCATACAGGTGAGATATTCATGGCGCGGATTCAACGTTTTATACAGGTGAGGTTTTCCAAGCATAGGTACAAATGTGGATATGCACCAAGAACTTCATTCGCACATTGTGCTTACTTCTTTGTATAGGTGAGGTAGTCATGACAGCCTTTGTAAGTGTTATCAATTGGTGAGAAAGTCGTGACTGTTAAAGTTTTTGCACAGGTAACCATGGGTTACGTCATGTGTTAATCAGTGAGAATAGTGGCACGATTTAATTGATCAGTTTTTTATACCAAGGCATGTCCTTAAAATTAGAGAAAGTAATGAAAATAATCATAAGTGTTAGAATTTAATGATAGGTAGAATTGAACGGATACCCCGATTACTGCTTGTTATTTTGGAAATCACATTGCATTGATAACTATATTTACAATATTTCAATCGGGCAAAGCAGTAAAGATTGAATTATTTTATATAAATCCTTACATATTACTCCTTACTCTCGGACTGTGACTTATGGTAACCGGTGCTTTGGAAAGGTAGCGGATACTTTGTGGAACAGCTTACCATCTGCTACTAGAAAGTCAAAATCCCTGGCCAAATTCAAGAGGGATATTAAAACCCACCTGTTTACTTCTGCATTTTAGACTCTCACGCAGACGTCCTGTATATACATACTATCACCACTACTTACTTGATTTGGTTACTATGTTATATATGTTGCTCACTGTGTTATACATGTTCTATAAATTATGTAGTAAGATTATTATGTAATTGTGAAGCGCATTAGAGTATTTTTTTTCAAAATAGATAGTGCGCTATATAGATTTTGTATATTATTATTATTTATTATATTTTACGGAAGAAATAAAACATATTTAGATGCGTTTTGTCTTTATTTACAGAGTTAACGGTTGTAAAGCCATTAAGGTCAAATCTTGCAGTCCAGATCAACGTCAGATTTCAGACACTGCATTTTGAAAATTGCAGAATGCCCTAAGTCCAAGAATGATCATTGAAGCATTGTATCGGTTTCCAGTATAACAGGAATATATATATTTATCACTCCGATTAATTAACCCTGTACATATACAAACACATGTAAATAGTTTTACAGAATTGTGACATTTCAAAGTTATCAGACACTGCGTGGACCTAGAAACCACAAAAGATGCAGTATAAAGTGGAACCTCCGGAAACTATGAACGCAAGCTTCAATGTCTCCTTAGAAGATCAAACTTTTGGCATTCCTGACGAGTTTCGTTTTCTTTTGCTCGGAGTATACTGCGTCACATGTCTCGCCATATTGTTGGGAAACAGCATGATTTGTTATACCACTCGTAAAATACCTAGTTTTCGTACGGTCACCCATTTTTTTATCGTCAGTCTAGCTGTAACAGATATAATTATGACCGTGCTTTGTGTGCCATTGTCTATCCTAAGCAACCTGATTTTCCATTACTGGCCTTTCTGGGATTTCCTGTGTCCCCTGATTGGATTTTTACAGCTCTCCAGTGTTCTGTTGAGATCATTTATGCTCATGGCAATGACATGTGACATGTACCATATCACCTTAAAACCTTTGAAACCACGCTTACTGACAAAGTCTCGTGCAAAGTTACTGGTGGCCTTAATTTGTGCATTGTCTTCTTTGATTTCGCTCCCCGTTTTTTTTTACTCTCACATCGAATACATGCCTTATGAGCCCGGATCTCGTGGTCTATGTATGGAGATATGGCCGGATGACCTTGTTCGAAGTATTTACGGAATTGGTATCATGATGCTTCAGTATTTTATTCCACTCATCATGATGTCAGTGTGTTATATTCACATCGGCGTTATCATCTGGGCAAAGCAGACTCCTGGTGAGGCAAACACTCGCAGGGATGAACGACAGGCGGTATCAAAGAAGAAGGTAAATGAAATATCTAGATATGATTCTGGAACTTGTGATACCGTTTCATGAGCACCGCAATTCCTTCTCAAAAGTTATATGCACTCTTGCGTTGCCTTCGCTATCAATATAAATAGTAATTAAATGTAAATATATGTTGATAGAAATAAAAATAATGCAAAGGAACTGCAAAAAACTGCATGGGAAGCAAAATAAGTTATCTAACGCTTGTTTCTGTTCTACGACTATCAAATTGTACACGGATCATGATGACAGAATAAATTGGTCAACAGGCATAGCCTATGAAAGCTTTCCTATACATTAACAAGTATACAGTCACATCAATTAAATGATTAGTAAATTATCACATAAAATTTAGTAACACTGAAACATTAGAATTAAGAATTTTACTCTGAATAGATAGATAAAAAAGATGCACCACATCAGATATCATTAATGTTCCAGGTTAAGTCGAAACTTCACTTAAAATGGAGGCAGGCACACTCATAAACATAACTTATCAATCAATATCACTGTATCAGTGAAGTTAATTCTGTAGCTTAATCTAAATTTGTTTTATTTCAGACAATTAAGATGATCGTGATTGTTGTGTTATCGTACCTGTTGCTATGGTTACCGTTCCATGTGATCACTATCATTGGGGACCTGGACCAATCCATTTTCGATTCTAACTTAGTCCATATCATGTGGCTAATTGCGCACTGGTTAGCATTCAGCAATTCAGGGGTCAACCCTATGATCGTTTTTTGGATGAACTCAAATGTTCGACAAAATGTACAATTCTGTCTTCATGGAAGATGTTGCTGCCCAGGAAAACAGAACACTCGCACGATTTCGAGGGATTCGTTTGCCTTAGCATCATACCGACGAAATCAAGACTATCCTAAAACAGGAGACAACCAACTAAACACTGCCATGCCTGTGACATCAATGAATGAGTAAGATGGCGAGGGGAAGTGAATGTAATGATGTGATATCACGTCATAAGCAAAGAAACCTTGACTAGGTCCATCCTGTATTTATATACGGACACAAAATGTTACAAACTGGAGCTTTTCCCATGCTTGTAACCCATGTATTGCAACACTTCATTTAAATAAGAGCTCAGTATTAGGTTGAACATCTATTGATAGATCTTGATGTGAGGTGTGGAATTTAGGGTATGCAATAAATTGTTTTATAAAAAAGGATAACAGTTATTGTAGCCTCTAAAGGGACAGTCATTAATGAATTTTGTGTTTATGTAATAGGTAAAAGTTATGAAAATATTCTTTCCCACTTGATTTTACTAGCGATATTTCCGTCTCTAGCCAGACACTTTATTGCTTGACAAAAGTCTTGGCTAGTAAGGTGACCTGAAATATCTTCTTTTACAGTTAAGGACGCTAAAGTTCGTTCTTGACTATACAACTAGCGATAAGAAAACTGATCTAGTAGTTATAAAACCACCAGGCTGGTAACGAACATCGCATAAATCTTGTAAATGATGAAGTCGAGGCAGCCATCAGACGTTAATTGTAAGTCTTCTTTAACAAGCGGTTTTGAAAACATTTTATAGAAAGCACAAACGACATACAAATTAATATCAAAATCCAATACAAATTCCGAATTAGCTATATAAAAGATTTTTAAAAATCTGCATTTATAGAGCTGCTTCATCCTTCTACGACTGACTAGTGATGCTAAGGTTCTAAATTGTCGGAGCCTCGGAGGCGACTGAGGAAACAGAAATATAAGATAGAAACGATTCATCCGTCAGTTTCAAATGATAATAAAATACAACCCAGTGAATATGATATGGTATAGCATGACGATACATTTTACTGTATTATCTGTACTTCCATACAACTGATCCTTTGTATATCATCTTCCTCCATCATGCCGATTTAGGAAGCAGACAAGAAAAGTGAAAGTGGACAACCATGATGAAATCACGACATAAACTTGATTATCAAAATGTTGATTATCTGTGATCATTTTGTCCTGACCTGATGACAATCTTTGATATCTGGATAGAATGATATGATAATGGTAACATACCTTCATGATTTACTGCAAAAGTTACGATTCTTTGTTCAATATAAAATTATATAAACTAACATTTTGGGGCCATGCTCTAATGAAATTAAACCCAGAAGATACGGTACTTACTTCAATAACATACACTTTTGACTGTTTTTTGGTTGCATTGCTAACATGACGGATGTCGTCGATGAAGCAGAAAACATCTTTTCTTCAGGAACATATGGTCCTATTCTCCTTGAACATTTCAGGAGTCTCCGTGTAAATCGTTCTTTTGTTCATGTATTTTTTCTGAATTTTTTGTGTTTGGTTTATGATTATGTTGACATCATAGTAATTTCTTGCTTTATTTTACAAGAGACAGATATATGTGGAAATATTTGGTATCCATGGAAACGTAATATTGAAGGAAATGATGTATACTTCCTCTTACAGGGTCAAAATATGTATCTCTTGCTAAAAATTCATCTGAGAAGGTAAATCAACCTCCATAATTCCTTGCAGCCAGAGCAAAATGACTTAAAAAATTAAAGTAGAAAAATGTGACGAAATCATGAAAATGACCGAGATTCTGGTTGACGACAAATTCATCACTTATACCTTTTAGTACAATCACCGTACCTTTATTGGCTAACTTGATTTTGTTTTCATATCAGGCTATGTTTATTGAGGAGCTTATCAAAACATGTCGCTGAGACCTTGTAGGGTCCTTCAATACGACTTTCAGGAATATTAGATAATATTGATATTTGACTTTGTCCATCGTATATATCCAACCTAATTGGAAATATCTCTTCTACATCAGTCGAATTGCTTGTTCTTTTCCTATAATCAAACTAAAATGAACAACTGTCAGTCAAACCGTATGATATTCATGATGAGATCAGTTTCCCTTCCTGGTTATCATGCAAATTGTGTGGAAGATTTACGGTTGTCATAGTGATTTCATTGAGAGATAATCTATTTTTGTGCGATATGAAGCTGAGAGTGTTTGATGCTACTTAGTTTGCCTGTTAGAAACCTTTTCCCAAAAGTTTCCCTCGGAAATCTCTAAACATGTTCACTGAAACAATGGTCAATTCTTTGGTAGCTTGTGCGTCTTTGTTTAAAAAAAATATATAGTATTGTGACTGAAGCTGACCTACATTTTATTTCTTAAATCGATCAGTAGCACTATTACAAAGATAAGATATAATATAAGTTATATTTAGGACACTCAGCATGAAGGCACGAAGCACCAATGAAGATCCAGAGTGTGTCGTTCGATCCATACCCGTGACCGTTTTGTGTTTCTAATGAAATGTAATGAGAAACCCTTGCGCTATGCATTTTATACAAATTGCCTTAGCAAATATGCGAAGGGCCTGCCGCAAGAAGGTCCCTTTCTTAATATCACTCTTTTGTTGATTGGAAGATAATCTAAGAAAAACAGAACTTGATTACTACTTCCTAAAAGCCATGCAGGAACACTAGATCGTAGCTGCATCAATATTTAATTGACAATAAAAACAGCTTTATGTATTCCAGGTCCATCTCGGTCTGTATTTCCTTATATAGCATATTTCTCAAGCGCATTGTATGGTCTTAATTGTATTATGAATGAGAAATGGATATTTTATTGATTAAGTCTGATTGTTTACCATTTGACCGTTTCCACTATGGCGCCGCAATATACTCACTAAAACCTCTACATTACTTGGGAGGCAATCATCAGGTGACAGCCGTCAGTACTCGTGGTCTTGTTTGTCACGTGTCATTTGACGGATGAAGTATGGACCGCAGTTAACGGAAGCTACTGGCACATCGCCTCGGTGAATGACGCTCAGAGGGACTTATTCCCTAATGTATCATTCGACTATGGGTATCAGGTGTCCTGGAAGTGTTTTTGACCCTGACGAAAGGACATTGTAAAATATGACTAACTAGGACACAATTCACAACGAAGCTGGATCGTTGACCGCAATTTGTTTCGGATCACTAACATGGTAATATCTTAATTAAAAAGTTTTGCGTTAAAATGCAACTGAACAGCTTCATAATGTTGTTTACCATAACATTTAAAGAAACTGCATTATCTAATGCGAACAACTTGTTATAAATAAAAATGCAAGTGCTTGTCTTTGCTCCTAGAAGCATAGAAGAATTGTTCTTGCGATGAGAAGTGTCGTGTCTAGTTACAGCTTATCCCCCACCACCCACACCCCCAGCCACTCCCCACCGCCTTGCGCTCCCTCCTCCATACTTTAATAAGGTTGTTGTTGTTTTCGAAACATTATTTTCTATTTGAAAATTGTCTCTGCCCGATAGCAATTGCGTTTCATTGTCATTATTGTAGATAAAACGGTACCACTCCATGGTCAATGGACTGAAATTATTTGATACTCGTTTCCAAGTTCGGATTGTAATGAAAATAAAATCAATACCTTTGAGATTAATGAAAGTATTACTTGAGTGATCTTTACTGTTCTATATACACAGAATCAATGCATTAGAGTAAACCTTATGAAAATGGATTCTTAGTCAATGTTATTTTTCCTACACAAAAGTTCCCTATGTTGTCTGACTGCTATTACCAAGTATCTGTTTCGGTTAAAGATAATGTTACTTATTTTCTCCTATTTCTGACTGTGCTCCTGCTTGTGGACACTTCTCTATACAAATGTGTCTGGAACTCGCTTTTTTAAGATAAAACCAGCAAGGCTCATTTATTCCTGACTTGTTTCCTCGGTCGCCTCCCAGGCTTCACAACTTAGGCCCTTAGCATCTGACATAACTGCCTGGTACGAGAAGAATACTGTATGATGCATTTATAAATTTAATCACATATTTGACTCTACTGTGTCTCAATCTGAAATTGTAATAAAAGGTGTTGTTGACTTGTGTGTCTCTTGTACAATCTGTGTCACGAATGTATCCAACTCTAAATTTGTATTAAAAGGTGCTATTTTCTTGTGTTTCTCTTGTACAATCTTTGTCTCTACTGTATCTAACTCTAAATTTGTATCAATAGGTGCTGTTGACTTGTGTGTCTCTTGTACAATCTTTGTCTCTACTGTATCTAACTCTAAATTTGTATTAAAAGGTGCTGTTGACTTGTGTGTCTCTTGTACAATCTTTTTCTCTACTGTATCTAACTCTAAATTTGTATTAAAAGGTGCTGTTGACTTGTGTGTCTCTTGTACAATCTTTGTCACTACTGTATCTAACTCTAAATTTGTATCAATAGGTGCTGTTGACTTGTGTGTCTCTTGTACAATCTTTGTCACTACTGTATCTAACTCTAAATTTGTATTAAAAGGTGCTGTTGACTTGTGTGTCTCTTGTACAATCTTTGTCTCTACTGTATCTAACTCTAAATTTGTATTAAAAGGTGCTGTTGACTTGTGTGTCTCTTGTACAATCTTTGTCTCTACTGTATCCAACTCTAAATTTGTATCAATAGGTGCTGTTGACTTGTGTGTCTTTTGTACAATCTTTGTCTCTACTGTATCTAACTCTAAATTTGTATCAATAGGTGCTGTTGACTTGTGTGTCTTTTGTACAATCTTTGTCTCTACTGTATCCAACTCTAAATTTGTATCAATAGGTGCTGTTGACTTGTGTGTCTTTTGTACAATCGTTGTCACTACTGTATCTAACTCTAAATTTGTATCAATAGGTGCTGTTGACTTGTGTGTCTTTTGTACAATCTTTGTCTCTACTGTATCTAACTCTAAATTTGTATCAATAGGTGCTGTTGACTTGTGTGTCTTTTGTACAATCTTTGTCACTACTGTATCCAACTCTAAATTTGTATTAAAAGGTGATATTTTCTTGTGTCTTTTGTACAATCTTTGTCACTACTGTATCTAACTCTAAATTTGTATCAATAGGTGCTGTTGACTTGTGTGTCTTTTGTACAATCTTTGTCACTACTGTAT